TGAGTATGCATCACTATTTATCTCTGTCCCACTAGGCCTTTGCAAACCTGTCTCAGTGTTCCCTTATCTATCTTGTTCTTCTACCTCCCCCCCCCTTCTTGTATTGCCCTCCCCAACACCCAAAATAACCCCACCCCAACCCCAACCCCATAGTGGTTACCTTATCTTCCATTAGTTCTTCCCTTCATTTAAGATAGTCTATTTTATCCAGTAATCAGAGTGCTCTTTTGAAGGAAGGATGACAAGACTTTGTACTTTGGGTATAATATCAAGAGCAACCAGTCTTTAGAGAAGGACATCATGCTTAGTAAAGTAGACAACAAAGAAGGGGAAGACCCCTAACAAGATAGATTGACATAGTGGTAGCAGCAGTGAGCTCATAGATAGTAAGAATTGTGAACATGGCACACGACAAGGCAGTGTTTGTGTTCTATTATGCTCAGAGTCCCTATGAGTAAGAACCAACTAGACAACACCTAACAACAACAACAACACTCCCTTCCAGCTAGCATCAGCCTAGGAAAGGCCATTCATGAAGAAGTAGGAATAAAGGGGATCTTCTGGCCTTCAGGAAGGTTGCAATGACTTTGTCTATATGTGTGATTCCTCGTAATTTTGGACAGGCAAAGAAGAGAGTAGATGGGAACTGACATACATATTGAGCTGAGGTAAAAATAAGGAAGATGTAACTTAATGTAGCAAGGAATAGGGAGGACTTAAAGTCTTCCTGTTTTAATGGGATACATTAATCACATGAGAGGCAATGTAGCCAAATCATTTTGTCGTGAAGTAATTTTTAAATTCTCTTTAGTAATTTATCTAACAACAACAAAAAAGGCATACAACTGAAAGGATGGCTCCAATTTATATACAGTGTCTATGAGGATTCTGAGTCTAGGATTCAATTATGTCTAAAAGAATAATATCCTAATTATGGCATAGTTTCAGTTTTTATGACATTTGCTATCATGTTGTGTATAATAGTGGACTATGCCAGAATTAAATCCTTTATGCATTATTGTTTGTTTTATTATGTGCTGTTGAGTTGGTTTCAATTCATAGTGATCCTTTGTAGGGTTTCCAAGGAACCTTTGGTGGGTTTCAACTGCTGACCAGTCCAGTGCTGATCCTGCAGACCACACCCAGATGTCAAGCTGTATTTACATGTAACTTGACTGAAACAATAGAGAAAAGTGCTTAAATGGTATTTCAATACACATGTATGATATTGTTTGTTTCTGCCATTAGGTATTTTTTTCCGGTGATAGTTGTTCAAAAAGCATTTTACATAATCACTTCTTTCCAGGAATGCTCTTCATTTTTGTGTATTTCCCAGGTCACCTCATTCTGCTGATTATTATAACATAATCAAAATTTACCTTAACAACATTTTAAATTGCTTCTTAACTACTAAGTTAGATGTGAGTCTGGAAATGTAAGTGCATTTTCTATGTGATTTGCTTATGTATTGGTCCAAATAAATCAACAGTTTGAGTACCAAAGTGTTTTCCACCCTTGAATATATGGAAGTTTGTTGCATAAATACAATTAAGATTGTGATTGTAAGCAAACTAACAGCCTCCTGAACATAAGTAAGGATTTTATTTTGGTTTCTCGCTGTTGTGAAGTGCTGTTGAGTTAGTTCCAGCTCATAGTGATCCTGTATAGGGTTTCCTAGGAGTGGTTGGTGGGTTTGAACTGCTGGCCTTGTTGTAGCTCAATTATTAGTTCACAAAATTTGATTTTACCTGTTTAAAAAACTTTAATGACTTTTCCTTCTCTTTTCTTCTGTCACTAATACAGATTCACATCCAGAGAACTGAAGGATGTGACCATATGACCTGTTCACAGTGCAACACTAATTTTTGTTATCGATGTGGGCAGAGATATCGCCACCTTCCTTTCTTTGGAGACCACACATCAAACCTCAGTATATTTGGATGCAAATATCGCTACCTCCCAGAGAGACCTCATTTAAGGAGATTAGTCCGAGGGTCAGTATGTGGTGAGTATCTGACATGACTTACAGGAGTCTCCTCTGGGTACTAACTAGTGAGAATGGAGCTTAGAAACGTAATAGCCGTGATCTTTCTGAGCACCTGTTAGGTCTTTTCCCAAAAACAAGAGGAAGATAAATTCTCTCCCTTTGAAATAAAAATGAAAAACTTAAATTTAGTAGCAGAACATTACTTATATGAGCAAAATCATTTACTCCCTACTGTATAACCCTATAAAGGGGTCACCATGAGTTGTAACAGACTTGATGGCACTTAACAAAAACAATATGACTGGATTCCTGGTCTGGCACTGTAGATAAGCACTGGACTACTAACCATAATCTCTGGTTCATAGCAACCAGCTGCTCCTTGGCAACCCTGTATGGGATTGCTATGAATAAGAACCGACTTGATGGCACTTAACAACAACATCCAGGTGATCCTTCAGTGCCACTGATTCAGGTCTGATTCCTAAGGACCTTGTATAGGGTTTCTGAGGAGCAGCTGATAGATTTGAACTGTTGACCTTGTGGTTAACAGTCAAGTACTTAACATACAGAGCCACACCTGGCCCCAAAGGTCAAGTTGACTGTCAATAAGCTGTTAAGTAGTAGTCTTTCTCTGTGCTAGTACTTTTCAAAGTCAGTAGCTTTTGATTGTGGACTCTGCTATGTTTACTTATGACTAGAGCCTGTTATTACTGTTGTTGTTGTTGTTGTTAAGTGCCGTCGAGTCGGTTCTGACCCATAGCGACCCTATACAGGGTTTCCGAGGGTGTAAATCCTTACGGGAGTAGAAAGACTCATCTTTCTCCCGCGGAGCGGCTGGTAGTTTCGAACCGCTGACCTTAAGGTTCGCAGCCCGATTCGTAACCACTACGCTACCAGAGCTCCTTCTACTGCTCAGTAATTCACTGGTAAAAAATGAATCGCTTGGTATCCTCATCAGTATTTAGCCTTTCTATTTTGTAAGTGCTTTCCTTTAAAATGTGTTTAACTGAGTCCCTTGAATAACTTTCAACACAGTGTGTATTTATTGGTAGTGTTTTCTCTGACAACTGGATTGCCCCATTTGTAGTTTAGTCTATTAGGTGTTTGTATTGTCTGCTTCCCTTAATTACTTAACCCATTTTTTTCAGATATAAGTTTGGGTACAGTGTCCCAGGCCCACCTACTAGCTGTACATGTTGTGAGCTCATTAGGTTTTTCTTCCACCAACTCAGAATATGTTAATCCTTTCTTAATGTTTTAGCATCTTGAAAACTGAAAATGGAAGAAATCTAAATGTGCAAAGAGAAATGGTCCTAGTAGAATTTTCTTGGTTACACAGGAAAAAATTAATTACAGCAATATTTAATTTATGTGCCCAGGATTTCAGTGAAGTCTTACACATGATGTATTTCCTTAGTAAAAATGTTGTTATTAAGTTCCATCATGTCGGTTCCGACTCATAACCACCCTGTGTAAGGACTTCCATGGGTTTGAACTGCCAACCTTGTGGTTCAAAGTCCAGTGCTGATCCATAGCGCTAAAACAGGAAATACAGTCTTTAGTTATAATCAGACATGGTAAGAATTGTGGTACACTGTAGTATCTAAAAAGCACTGCTGAAATTGTTGAATGAATTAGTTTTAAGACTCATTAAATGGTTTTTGCCTTTTGTTTTCCAGCTGGAAAATTATTCGTTGCACCTCTAATCCTGATCTTGGGGTTAGCACTAGGGGCCATAGCAGTTGTAATCGGTAAGAAATGCTTGACCTATCTGACAGTAGAATTCTGTGAGTGCCACAGAAAGAATAGGAGCCTACATGTAATGGGAATAAGTTATTAAGTGGACGTGATTTCTCCTCCGTGTTTGCTTTCAAGGAATGGACCTTGACCTATTAGGATAAATATTGCTTTTAAATATGCAATAAGCATGTGATTTACAAGTTCACAAGCTTAGGAACATGTTTCATATAAAATGTATTGGTGTAGCACTTTTATGTCTCCTAATATAGTTTTGTCAGTTCCTACGCATAGCAACCCTGTATAGTGTTTCCTAGAAGCTCCTGTTGAGTTTGAACCACTGACCTTGTGGTTCAACTGGCCTTGTCCTACAGCACCACACCACAACTCCATATACTATCATAGTAATATTAATTGCTCTTTTAATAGAGATTAATACAATTAGTATTAGTGAAAGAGTCTAGTGGACTAGAACCCAAATGTCCCAAGTTTGAGTTCAGATTGGAGCATCAAAGAGTCTTTGGTGCACTTTTTGGTATTTGCATTAGTCTGCTTTTTTTAAAAAAAACAATGGTATCTTTAATATGTATAGACTATATTCCAGTAAGCACTGAAAATTAAAAACTCTATCAGTGACTTGTATAGATTTGTGCAAGTATAATGAAATATATACTTTTAAAGCAGTGGCTCTCACATTCTAACATGTTATAGAATCACTTGGAACGTAGAATAAAACACAGATTACTGGATACTTCCCCCCCCCCCCCCCTTAGAGTTTCTGATTGAGTAGGTCTAAGGAAGGCCTATGAATTTGTATCTCTAAAATCTTAACAGGTAATGTTGATACTACTGGTCCTGGGACCATATTTTGAGAACCATTGCTGTAGAGAATTTTAAATTAAATATTACAGATAAAGGCTTATTTGATGGATGTTCTATTTCTCTGTAGTAATAGGATTTTTCTTGGTTTGTATCTTCTAACTGGTCTCCATATGTAAACTTCTATTTAGCAAATAATGCACGTGCAGAGCTGACAGAATTTTAGAGTTTGTTTATGTTCTTATCATGACTAACGACCTTATGAGGTAAACATAGTTGAAAATATGAAGCCTTATTGGTACCTCATAAGTGGCAGAACTGGGAATTGAACCTGACATTTAGCTCCACAGCCCACATTCTTAACAAATATGTTTTACCTCCTGAGACTATAGTGTGTACAGCGCATCTAAATTCTATGACTACAGCTAATAAAGAAGTCCTACAGCTAAGGTTTGATATTGTTCTAGAAAACAGTATTACATATTCAACCTGGAATCACTGAAGTTGTTATACATCTGGGGCAGGAGAGCTAAAGGGAAATAATAAGGCACACAATCTTATAAAAGTAAATACATTTGATAACAAGTTGTTCATTTTCATCTATAGCTAAATAATGATAATTTCTCAATAGTTTACAAATAACGAAAAAAAGTGTAAACATTATAAGTCTAAATACTTCTTTTCCTAATTAGCTTTAATTATCTTTTTTTTTTTTTTAACCCATAGGTTCCTTTGTATTTCCTATCTATTGCCTTTGTAAAAAACAGAGAAAAAGATCAAGGACAGGTATGCACTGGTAAAGCCCAGATGACTTCATCTGAACTATGCTGGTCCGGGTAGGAGCTATGCAGAATGGTACCCCCATGTGTGAGACACATCTTGAAAATCACTGAGAGGAACCTCTGCCACCTTGTCTCCCCATGGTCTCTGCAGGCCTCAATGCCTCTAGCTATGGTGCACTCCCAACATAGTGTCCCATCCCTCTCCCTATACAGATTGCTGCTTTTAAAAAATGGTCACTTTCATAGACTGTAAGCATCTGTATCATAACTTCGACCTTCTTCATGGTTCTTTGAAGAAAACATTTTCATTAAGAACCAGTTATCCTCAGAATTGTCCTGAGCACACCTCTGCTGAGCATTGCTTGGACTGTCTTTGAGCCCTGAACCTCCCTCCATGCCATCTTGTGACACCTGATGTGAATAGCTGAAGTCTCATCTGTACCAGTAAGCAAGGCCACTTTTCTGAAGATGATGTTCACCATCTACATTTGTTTTCAACTGTGGCCCAAGCAGTAAAATTCATTTCTCTTTTTGATGCTATAATTGCTAAAAATCTTGGTGCCCTAAAGGCAACTGATAAAGCTAAATTAATGAGAAGAATCATAAGTTGCTGAAGTATATTTTGTGTGTGTGTGTGTATATATTTTTTTTTTTGTTTTTTTGTTTTTTTTGAAAACTAGGCCAATATTTTTTGCTTGTCTAATACCATGCCTCTATACTATTTTTTCACATTTTAATAGAGGTATTTAAAGATGATGGTTCCTTTATGGACATAGTTTGGTACTGTACTAAAGTCAATGTAGGCTCAGGCTATATTTGTGTTGACCCTTTGTATTTCTGGTTCTCTTTTGTTACCACATACACACACACATTATCAGTCTTTGTATACAGGCATAACTGATAGGCAGCATTTAGGAAATTCTCAAGGCCTGAGCATTTGTTCTTTACTCATGTATTGGTACTATATGATTACATTCTTCTAGTGAAATTATTTAATCCAAAGAACAACTGTGGTATAAGGAGAACTGCTAAAGTCTTCAAACAAATCCCTATTCTGATGATTATTTTTTCAAGTTCTAATTATAGATAACTGCTTTAGATCCACATTTTACAATATTTAATGTCCTACCCTCGTCTCTGTTCTTTTCTCTCTTTCTCACTGTATTTTATTTGTCATGGAGTTTTTCAGGAAAATAAATACTATTTTTGAAGGAATTTTCTTGTTATCTGCTCAAATAATCTGATGCTTTTGTTTTTTTGGAGAAATAAAATGAAAACAAATTTTTTTTTGTTTTCATGGGTATATAAAAATGTACACTACTTTTGGAGAAAGAAACAAAGAAAAAAAAATGAAGGAACTATTTTTCAGGAAGTTTTTCAAATCTGAGAAGTCTCTGAAAACAAGAAAAGGTCAAGTATTTAAACTGATATTTCTTTGTGTTTATCATGAAAGCTCATCAACAGAAAAGAAGAAAATATCCATTAAAAAGTTAGAAGTTTCTAGTTGTCTCCAAATGTTTAAAATTAGCTATCTGCCATAGATACAGTATTTATTTGTCAGCGCCCTTGTCTGACTTGAAACAGGTTATGTGAGAAAACATGCATTAACATGGATAGTTTGTATTTTGGGGGTCCAGAATATGAGAACATTTCTCATTTTTATTTGACCTTAAAAGTCTGTAATAATAACGTTTACTTGCATGGATAAAAAGCCAGTATGCTTCCCTCCCCCCCCCCCCCCCCCAGGAATAATAGTCATAATAGTTATATAGCTTTTGGACTAGTCATCTCTTTTCAGCTAAAGAAAGATGTACCATGTATGATTTGGGAATTGTATATTTCTAAAGTATGGCATGATATTAGAAAATGTGATGTTCTGGTTTTACAAAAACATCTTTGCATTCCTCCATTCATCTATCCATCCATGTATGTATATCCATCCATCTGTCCCTTCATTCATTCAACAGATATTTATTGAGTGACTCTTACAGGTGCTCTAATTAAAAGACTGAAAGAAAGATTTTCTAACCTAAATCAATGTACTTTTATCTTAAAAGTACTTAACGTTTTGTAAATATGTCTTTCCTGGACTTTGGCCTTAGTTTAGTTATATATGAATATAATCAATCCTAAATTGAGTGAATATGTGTATGTATGTTATACATATGTATATACAGAAAATATTTCCATAACTGCATATGAGTACATGTGCCACATACATATATACCAACTGGTTGAATAATATACTCTCTGGTCTAGATTATCTATTTTCTTAGGTTATTGTATCTGTTGTCTTTGGTCTACTCAGGGAGTTTTATTCCTTTCTTTAAATAATTTATCTTTGGGAGGTATTTTTATATTGTTTAGAAAACTTGCCAATGTTCCTATTACAAAGCAGTGTCTGTTATTGAATAGTGAAGGCTAATCTATTAGTGTATCAGTGCTTGAGATCCAGAGTGTGCATCCTCATGCACAGATATTTCCGTTTTCTATTGCATAGATTTTTCTTGAATTAATGTATTTGATTTTCTCTTTATAAATTGACACATAGTTGGTCTTTCCCTGCTGGTGAGTTGAAATAATTACTTGTGATTTTTTTTTTTTTTTTTTTTAACTAAACATCATCAAAATCTTAATTTGAAAATACAGTGGATTAATTTATGTATCGGTGCCAACATTGAAGGTAAAATTATAAAATAAACTTTAGAGTAAATTCTAAAAAATACTTTAGAAAGAGATGTGTGCACATAAAATAAATATCTTTATATCTAAAGATTGTCAATTTTTTAATGTTTTTATTCTAAATTTAATACTTATTCCTTTAAAACTATAAAACCATGGAATTATAAAATACAAAAAAGGTTTTTTGCTTGTACCACCCTTATTTACTAGGGGTAACCACTGTTAATGGTTTGGTATGTGTCCTTCTAGATATTGTCTGCAAATACATTATTCTGTGTGTGTATTTATGTGAGTGTGAGTGTGTGTGTCTATGTATTCATTTTATACAGATAGGATAATATGCTAACTGTCCTGTGACTTATTTTTTACTTTATGATATACCAATGGATACCTTTCCATCAGAGTGTCAGTAGAATTACCCTACTTTTGTGTAAATTACTGCATATTGACTTATAGAGCTGTACCTTAATTTATTTAATTACTCCCTATGGAATAGAAAGTAAGATCCCCACACACACACACTTCTCTATTACAAACAAAGCACCAGTGAAGATCCTTTTACATATATTTTTGTGTCTTGTGTGAACATTTCCATAGGTATTTTAATTTGGTCTCTATAAAATATGTATAACAACATTTTTACTGCGTTTTCTGTGAATGAAATCACAAATAATGTAATTTACATCCCTCTTTTGGAGGAAGAAGAAAAAGATTGTATGGGAATGCATAATTCTTAAAAGTATATTTTGCCAAATAATTTCTCCCCTGCTTGATTAGTCAAGTAAATACTTGGCCAGAAACTTTTAAAACTAAGTTAATCCTTTTCCAGTCAATATAAAATGCTGTGAGATATCTATAAATGGTGTGAGAAACAGTCACTGATTTTTAGATTGCTTAATTTTAAAATTTGGTGGATTTAAATGAAATAGTCAAGTAAATAGATGATGTTTATCACATTTTTAAAACACTCTCCATATTTATGCATGTTGCTCCACAAAGGAACTGAATTATGCCAGTGAGTAATGTGTTTGAAGCTATGAATAACTGTAATTGTCCATAGAAAAAGAGATTGGACTGTAGGTAAAGCTTGATGATTTGTTGGAGTTTTTATTAAGTATGGAATAATGGGAAACATTTATTTACAATGAATCCCGACTGTTTCCTAGGAATTTGTCTATGAGGTATTAAGATGCCATTGTATCCTACTTAAATAGACAGGAAAACAATCACAGTTAATTAAATACCACTCAGATTACAACATGCTATCTTTAATTGTACTTTCTCTGCTTTGGTATCAGGATTCAGTAGTACCTGTAAGGAATTCTCAGCCAGGTGCAACTATAATCTCTTGAATCCCCAGGCCCCAAGTGAGCCTTCAGATCTTTCATTCCCACCTCCAAATTCAAACCCCCTAATCTATGGCCCATTGTTCCCCTATTCCAGTAGGCCAAAAAATATCTAAAAAACACTGTAATCTTTTCCAGTCCTTGGAGACCCTCCCCAATCTCATTTTTCTTCACCCCTCTGTTATTTTAGCTGCTCACTGGAAAAGTGGAAGAGAGGCAGGAGAGAGTAAAAAATCCTCACTTTGGTACCTGTAAAGCATCAGCGTTACTTCCTGATTCTTGTCAAATTAGACTACATCTGCTAAGCCTTTAAACTTGCTTAAACAAACAGTTATTTCTAGATCCAGTTTTTCATTTTGCTTGTTAAATTTGTAAATATAAAAACTTAGTGACCTAAAGAACATTAGTTGATATTAAGTTCAAAAATAAAATTTATACTGAAAGCTAATTTGATTTTCATTTTACAATAAAATCTTCAAAAGCAGGAACCCTGTGTAAGGCAAAAGCCTGTCAGAGAAGGAAAATTTTTTAAGGTAAAAGCAGTAGGAAGATGGTAAGATTGAATCCTATCGAAGGTGGAATACTTCTGAGACCCAGAAAAAGAAGGCTGACATGTCCGGCCGTGTTCAGCTCTAATAGGTCTCAGTGTGTAAGTTACATATATGTCTTGTGTGCTTCTCTTTTCATATGTGGCTAAAGTCTGTCGCAAATGTTTAAGGTAAATTTTGCTGTGGTCAGCTTTATTTTTGTATGTATGTCAGTATCTCTTGTTAGGTATAGCCTTAAATTCAATAATGCACTTTAAAATATTCATGCCATTTAAGTAATATATTGGCAAAGTTAAGGCAACTGAAAGATGTATATGTCAATGGAGAAAGTAAAATGCCAGTGTTAGCAAATATGTGTCACCTCTAAATTTAGAGGGGAGGGGAATCAGAAACTAAAAATTTTAAACAAGGAAAACATACCCAGAAAATATGTTAGAGATTC